GTTTTGGATCTGGAGGCTGGTGGCATTGTTTGGGCCATCAAACGCCTTCGCGGTTATCTGTGGTCGACCAAGTTCATCATCTACTCAGACCACAAAGCATTGGAGAGCATTGGCAAGGTTGGGGAACACAAAGTTAGAGTGCAACGATGGCTGGAATTCCTGTCCAACTTCACCTACACCCTGAAATATCGAAAATGTTCGGCAAACGGCAACGCGGACTTTCTTTCGCGGTTGCCTTTACCAGCACAAGACGCGGACAAAACCGGCCCCGACTGCATTGATGGTGTTGATCAAGCGGGTGTTTTCCTCATTTGGGCTTGCGGGCGCAACTATCACTCGTCGTCTACACCGGAGGTCGGTTTGGGTGGGCTCCGCCCTCCTTGCACGGCAGGAGTCTTTTCGCCCCCAGCGTTGCAGCCCTCCGATTTTGGGGATTTTCGCCGACATTACCCGCGTCGGGTGGATGCTCTGACGGACTCAAAGATTGCCTGCGAAAATTCTCAGCGGNGAGCATTGGCAAGGTTGGGGAACACAAAGTTAGAGTGCAACGATGGCTGGAATTCCTGTCCAACTTCACCTACACCCTGAAATATCGAAAATGTTCGGCAAACGGCAACGCGGACTTTCTTTCGCGGTTGCCTTTACCAGCACAAGACGCGGACAAAACCGGCCCCGACTGCATTGATGGTGTTGATCAAGGGGGTTTTTTGCTCATTTGGGCTTGCGGGCGCAACTATCACTCGTCGTCTACACCGGAGGTCGGTTTGGGTGTGTTCCGCCCTCCTTGCACGGCAGGAGTCTTTTCGCCCCCAGCGTTGCAGCCCTCCGATTTTGGGGATTTTCGCCGACATTACCTGCGTCGGGTGGATGCTCTGACGGACTCAAAGATTGCCTGCGAGAATTCTCAGCGGTCCCCGGGGGTCTTCATCGTCTCGCCTATGCTCGCATCTTCAGGGCCTGCTTCCTCATTGACTTCGGATGCGTCCCGGGTGATGTCTCCTGTCGCGTCTTTGGCGACTAGATATGTGCACGTTTTGTCTTCGCTTCCGGAGCAGGGACCGCTCATTTCTTCACGGACTCGGGCCAAAACTACCGCTGTTTCCGGAGGCACCGTCACCGGTCCCGCTTATTTCGGACGCCAGCCGCGGGCTACCATCGTACCTCGGACATCGTCGCCTGCCCGTCGCTCTAGCTGGTCCCGCTCGACAAACAAGACCACCCGGACCGCCGCGCGTCTGCTGCCGCCATCCGCAACGCCGGCATCAGCATTTTCGTCGACTGCTCTGCGCCACCGGTGTCTTCGCCGTCAGCGGCGCGCCCTGCATCCCCGCTTCGCCTTCTCTACAGGTTCGCCCGGGACTTCGCCACTCACGATGTCCCCTTCGCGGACATCACCCCGGACTGTGGCTGCCCCAGTCGCTGAGGCTTCGCCTTCTTCCGCCTCTTCCGTTGGATCGCCTGATTT